GGACGCCCCGGGCGATATCGCCGGGAAGACGTAACCACCAACCTGAGAGAAATGACTGCCTAGAAGCTCCTGTACCCCTAACCCATGATGACATAAATTTGGGGAAGGCTGTTCTTCTTCTACTTTTTTAAGCAGCAGCAAACTCCCACCAACTAATAGGCTAAGAGCTCCCCCTAGCAGGTTAAAAGCGGCATGTCGAGAACAAGCCTGTGCAGACGGGGCAGCCTCAGACTGAAGCGGTTTATGGGTGTCTGGGAGAGCACTCCCACTCCTGATCAGGACGGACTGAGGCCTGCTGGACCCCTTCAGAGCCCAGACCACCATTCTGCTCCGGCCATATCCGGGTTCCTCTACTCCGTCACCACAAAACAGTGACAGGGCTTTGACGGCCGATCCCACACAATTTGTGTGTTTTCCATACAATGACAGGCATTTCTCCACATGGCTCATGCATAAATACTGCAGACAACATGCGGCAGGTCATGCGTGACTCATATAAAAAGTGCTGAATGAATGTGAACAATTTAACAAAAAAGCCAATGACACGGTAACTTCAACATGGTTATAAAAATAAATTCTTGTGTAGTTCTTATTAGATAAACACAGGTTAAAGCCATAATTGCTCAATATATATAACAAAATAATGTTGAGATGACTAAACTATGTCCATGTATATTTTTTCCTGTTATGTAGATTAAAATTAAGATGCAACATAATCTAAACCTATAAAGAATTCTGTGGTGTATCTAAGGCTAAGGGCCTTAATCCCCGTATTCCAAACCAAGAACACATTCATACGATCCCATTCTTATTTCACAGAATGAATCCATCACGCATCCAGAACACAGCGCCTAATCTCCAGGAGGAATCTGTATTTCTGTCATCATCGCGTACACTAGCGACTATAAATTTATAAACAATTTAGAGGAAGCGTAATTTAATGTTCTGTCAAAACATCCCGGTGGGTACTTTATACTCAGCGATACCGCCGGAAAATTTCAGGTATCGCAGAGCTGGAGGAACCGAATGGGCCGGAGAATCATTTTGAAAAAGAGAAAGTAAAAATCGCCTGTAAATGTGCAGGGAAAGAAGGGGGCTTTGTGCAGCTTCTTCTGTTTTTTTTTTCGTCTGTGAATCTCCTGAATTTGGAGCTGTGCTGGTGAACCTTCAGAGAAGCTCCCACAAACCTGACTGACTCACACACTAATGGAGCCTGCTGAAGGTTGACGAGACCAAAATACGGCGGGCGCCATGTTCATGTGCATACACACACAAGCACTCACACACACACACACACACACGCACACACACACATACACACACACGTGCACTCACACACACACACACTCACACACATACACACACACTCACACACATACACACACACGTGCACTCACACACACATACACACACAAACATACACACACACACGCACTCACACACACACACACACGCACTCACACACATACACAAGCACGCATACATACACACATGCACACATGCACACACGGCCTCTCTCGGCCCCCTGCCTGCACTTTCTAATCTTAACGCATTTATGGGAATCCCAACAAGAACCAAAGACTGTATTAAAAACAGACTGGCAATCACTGCGCCATTATACCCCTGTTCCTTTTCTTTTTTTTCTGCATGAGTTGAAAACTGCAAAAGATGCCTTTTAAATCCGCTCTGGCTCTTAGTGGCACATATTCATGCAAACGAACACGCGGCTGCCTGTCTGCTGGTGCATGCATGCTTGTGCATGTATGTGTGTGTGTGTGTGTGTGTGTGTGTGTGTGTGTGTGTGTGCGCGCGCGCCCCGGCAGTGCAATCCGTATCCGTTGCAAAACCTCAGCCATGAAATATGCAGATATTCTCGTTTGCTCCTCTCACACACCGAATCCCACTCACAGACCCATCACCTCAGGTGAAATATCTCCGCAGAGCAGACCTGTAATTCACCAAGGCGAGACCCCGCATTGTTCCGTACCCTGCCAAAGCAGCACTTTTAATCAAATGTGACAGACCGGTTTTCCCCTGACACTAGATCCATGAGCCTACAATTTTTTATAACGCTGGGTATGAGTTTCTGCCTATTGGCCTGACCCGAAGGGCTCCATGTACTTTTACGCACTGTGTTTCATCGCCGTTTACCCACACACGCCCATTCTCATAAACACGTACACGCATGTATGCATGCACGGGCACAGGAAGACATATATGTAGGGCCGATGGGTAATTGTTTCATACGGTGTTTGTACGTTCATGTGCTCTTTACTGTCATCCCTTAATATAAACCGCAGCACCCCCCCGCACCCCCCCCCCATAATCCCTCAGAGCATCACAGAACACACCATGGGTTCAGCCAAGAAGCCCAGAACACTTCCTGTCATTAGAAGGATGACAGACTTTAATTTAATTTTTTAAACTGTAACCGTGAATTAATCTTGCGCCATCTTGCATAACCGCTACGGCTCTGGGTGCTTTTTTTTCTGCCAGCCACAGATCGTAGACAGTATGGCGGTGAGTGTGCAGGCCAGATTCATAGGAAGCCCCTTCAGCGCGGCACGAGTGACTCTAAGATGGGCGAGATGTTAAAGAAGAGGGATAAATGTCCACACACGAGGAAACAAGGTGGAAGTAAGCAAGAGCAGGCGAGAGAGATGCTCATGCTTTACCAACATGTGACATTTCTAATGACATGAGAGCTGTAATTGGGGGGGAAATGACAGTTACGATGCTATAGTATTATAAGTCGAAACTATCTTCTCATAAAATGGTACATGAACAGAGAAATGTCTTGTAAATGTCTTTTGAAATATTTACTGAAATTTGTATATATAATTGCCTTTAGTTTTTATGTTTTGCTGTTTCTAGATACTCTTAAAAGAAGCGAGCTTGCTGTACACCACTGGGATGCATTAATCAGTTGCACTGATAAAAATGGATAATAATCATAAAATCTAAAATAAAAGGCAAAATTCTGAATTTAACAAAGGGGATCAACTTATAACTAGAAAAATTATACAGTCATTAGAAAGGCACACAAAAGAAAGTTACTAGCATGTAAATTAAAGGATAGTTTCTAGGTTATAATGGTCCAGACCATGTGGTGCATAAATAGATTGTGAATTAAGTAGCCAAATTATAGAGAAATTGCATCACATGACTGAATTAAACCAAAATAAAATTGCATTTTAGCTCAGCAGAATAACAAAAAAAAAATAAAGGATTAATGTGACTGATTTTAAGTCAATTTCTTAAAGAGCTGGATCAAACTGGCATGGTTGTGATTAATTAAATCACTAGCTAAACCGATATATGCAATCAATATACAAAACATTATTGCATTTATTTGAGCAATCTACTAAAAGACCAATCCTGCAATATGCATGCAAAAATAAACAAATCAAAAATGATAAATAATACATGACATATATTTCATCAGATGGTGGTGTCACGAAGAGTGGTGTATTATTTATCTCCATATGTTCTACTGCATCGTTTGTTGGAGAATTTATTTTTGCGCGAGCTTTTAACCCGCGTGCAAGGCCCACGCACAGGTACTTGCAAATGAGACACCGCGTGAGCCAAAAACTGCTATCGTTTCTGCAAATCAGTTCTATTTTTTCACTGCACACGTAACCCCTGGAGGGTAAATTAGCTTAATAATTACAAAATGCGTGTTTAATTTTTATATTAAATCTTCTTTTGTAAGCATCGCCTTCATACTTGACACAGGGTTTGATACGTGGGTCGTGTGTATACAGACAGTGGCACGGTGACCCCGCCGAAACTATCCACTCTAAAATAAGCATTGGATTTAAAGTAACTTTGAATGTAACTCATTAACAAGAGAATTACAAACATCATTAAAGACTTTATCCTGCTATTTACGTTTTTTTCTTTCATCGAAATTTCAGTTCACTTGAAAGTCCATTTAAGAGTATAAGGGCATATATCCAAATTCACTCTATTACCCTACCTTATGCACTGAATCTTACCATGCAACCTACCCGTTCCTCCTTGAACAGTTATTTTCAAGAATAAGAGAAGTGTAATGTTGAATAATATATTTTGATTTGTCTGTTTAAATTAAAATATTTATAGATATTGCAGACTCGCTTCGCCGAAACACTGGTGGCCAATACTGTTGTAACTAAATACACAAAGGCCTTTACGTTTAACCTTTTGCTCTTTTTGTAGTTTCTGTCTTATCGTGATTATGAAGAAGGGAAATAATACCACAAGAGAGGGGGAAAGTAACGTAGTTGTTGTATACTAATATAATGCATACTCTCCTACTGAAATAAAACAGGACATTTCAGTTATACGGATATTTCAGTCTTAAAGTGTAAAATGAGTCACGTCGGTATTCCGGTCACTCGTGTAACGGCGCATGGTGTCTGTATAGGGAACGGTGCAGCCCGGGCACATTTTCTATTATGCAAGCAGAAGGGCATCTTCATAATCAGCTCCGATCACCAGCTAAACCACGTCCATTTATCTTAATATCCGACGTGTGTCTCGCTCAATTTGGTACATTTTTACTTCATCTAATCCCACGTTGTATCGTGCAGCATTACTGTAGTGACAGACCTACGGGCTCCCACAGTTTTGATTATTTGGGCCCTTAAATGTCACGCCGAAGGAGCGATTATTCTCACATTTTACTGCCGTTGCAATTATACAAAACAAAATTATATATATATATAAGCATATGGGCTATAAGCAGAATGTGGATGCTGCATTCATTCGTTTACAGATTCGAACTTATGGTATTTTAATGAAATTAATTGCTATATTATAAATATTACAAACTATCAACGTCAGCTGTGTTTTTCATAATAAAAATGTACTTTAAGGATATTAAGTATACTGGTTATAATAGCTAATAATAATGCTCAAGACATGAGACTGCGAACACATTCGTAAACCGTGAGATACATGCATGTATATGACTGAATTTTAGGTAAGCAGAAATAATGTGAAAAGATACTTACGTCTTCGTATTTCTCTTTGCGACAGTGATAAGTGCTGTGGGTTTCCCTGCTTGCGACGGGACATTGCCCTGGCATCTACACTGGCATCGCCCGGAGACCAATACTTGGATGGAACTGGCTTGCTTCCCCCCTTTTCTTCTCCTTTTTTCTTTCAGTAACTTTTCCTCGGACTTCCAAAAAAAAAAAAAAAAAAAAAGAGTGAGAGCGAGAGAGGATAAGCCGGGGGCTGCTTCGCAGTCTGACAGCTGGACAAGCTGACTTTCGCGACGGTGTCGCGGTTCTGGCGCTGGGGTCCAAACTCCGCGTCCAAGTCCGCTCTGGTCTCGGAAGGTACCGGGACCTAAGATCGCCCGGCTTCAACACCGATAAGTAACACCTTCTGGCAGGGGCTCATGGTGAGTAAAAAATCTTCCCCGGTAAAAAAAAAAAAAAAAGCGCAGAAATACCATCACCGGCCCCACGCCCGTGGACTGACAGCTGGGAGCGAAGCGCCGTGAATAGACGCGCTTTACATATCTGAGCAGTCAAAATGCGGCGCCTCTGACAGCTGCGGGAGGCTGATTACCAGTCTTCGATGAATTTCTTATTTGCCTATCAATCTGGTGTCTTACTAGAAAAAACAGAAGTAACTGTTAATAAATAAGACAAAAATCATATTTTAAAAATCCATTGCGGCGGCAGCGGCGCTTTCCAGGTGATGGGCACCACGATGTGTATGCCCTGGCACTGGTATATACGGAATGCCAACTCTTGGCACTTGCTCTCCTTGTATGGTACGGACAAGATCGGGGACGTGGGCTGCCACCTTGTTTCCAAGCGAAACCCCTTGGCTTTAAAAATATATATATATATATAATAATAACAACAATACCAAAAAAAAATCTTTTTAAAAGTGAAGATGGCGGGGTGTCCTGCTTCTTCGAGAGCTCTCTCTGTGTCTGTGGCTGGGGCTGCCTTTGTACAATGGGATAAAATTCAAGTTCAAGTGCGGACGTGACGTTCAGTCTATGGTGAGAAAGGAAAACTGGAGGAAGGGAGACAGCAAGAGCACTGGGGGCGACTAGCGGTGGCTTTTCACATCTATCGGATCACCTGAACGCCGGCGCGGACTGGGAGCCGCAGCGCGGACGGACAGTGACCGCGGGCGCAGACGGGGACTGACGCCGCTCCGGCGCAGTGCGCACCCCTGCTCTCGCTTTCCCAGTAATAGTTTCTGACCCCATTCCCCCGTTATAGTGACCACCAGAAGACCACCGTCTCGATTAAAGTCTAAACTCAGACCTTGGCCAAGTTCTCATTTTCGCCGTGCTTTGCTCACTGTGTGTTCCGGCGGAGCGCTGCTGTGACAGAGACCTTTCTGCGCCGCTCTTTAACAGTCAGGGATCGCATTGAAGGGCTTAACGTGCATTTTGGAGCGGGGGCTCAGCGGGTGGCAGCCGCTGTTTTCCGGCGACCCTGCTGTTGTTCAGGCTCCTCTGGGCGCCGGAGAGGTGGACCGGCGCAAGTCCCGGTCAATGGACGGGATCGCAGCGTTTAAATAACTTAAGCACTAAGCTATTTGTTGAATTATGACCCCCCCCACACACACATCATACGCATATTATCATGATTTAGGCAACTTTTATGGGTTTTTCTCTTTTCATAAATCGACCTTTTGCCCCTTCAGACGCATGAAGGAAAGGTACTGAATTGTGTGACGGAAGCTTCTTAGGCGCCGCTCGCCGTGAGAAACGAGCGAATTATCTTTACATCAGCGATATGATAGCTGTGGTTACATTTCATAAATATTAAAGCTTGTTTTTTTTTTTGTATTTCCTACGTTAATATTTTCGTAGAAAACATTTCGAACGTTTTCTTCATCTCAAAGCATGTAATTGTGTTTTAAAAAGTGTTTTTAAAATGCAAAAGCGGGTTTAATTTAAATTCGAAATAACTACTTTTTCATAATCCGGCTAGAGAGTCTTATACGCGTTTATAAATGTTTGTTGTTGTACTCTAAGTTCTGGGGGAAAATAAAGCAACGATTGTCTCGGTTAGTGTTAATTATGATGTTAATTTTAAAACTTTTGAAACGAACGTAAAATAGACTCCAATACACATCATGGCTGGATTGAAAATTTTATTACGAACAGCTATCAGACAGAGTCCTTGGAGTCAGTATTTGGCGGGTGTTTTATGGTGGTAAAATCTAGGTCTGCAGAATGTATTAGAAGTTGCTTATAAATGTTCGTTTTTTTCATTCCATCAATATAATCAAAGAAGGAAATATTACATAGCTGTCAGTCACAGAAAGTAAGAGATTAGTGTGACCTGTACGGGTTGTGGAGAAGGAGCAAGCTTGCCACACTGAGCCCATCAGGCTGCCATTACCATCACGGGGTAGGTGCAGGTTTGCGTGGCGATGAAAGCTGATTGATTCTACAGGATGGAGCAGTCACTGCAGCTATCCGTCTTGCTGTGGCTGGCGAGGTGTGCCTGTCTCTCCCTTCCCCTCTACGAGGTCTCCCCCTCTTCTCGTCGCATGCCACTCCGCAGGCCAGATCTCCCTGCGTTCCGCCCACCTCTCAATAATCCACCTGCCACGCTCACCCTTCCTGACATTCACCCTTGGGTAGGTGAGACAAACTAGCTAACCCCTGACCTCAAGCCCAACGGGCCCGGCCATCTTCCTCTCCACTCTCACTGCTACTTTAACATCTTCCAAATCTGTGCATGTATTCAAATACACACTTTCAACTGGGCTTCTAATCGCCTTCTAGCAACTCAGGCAGAGTGTCACTCTGTGCTAAAATCCAAAGGCATTCCCATCTCTCTTCTGTGCAGCTGGAAATAAGGAAAACAACTGATTTAGTTTCCTTCAGGCTCAATCCCGATCGTAGAGGAAGACCTGCAAGATGGGCATGCTTGTCTTTGCTTGTGTTTGTATCTCAGTGAAGTGAATTTAAAGTGTATATTGCGCTGCATTAATTTGGACTGTCCTCTTAAAAGTGGAGTTTATTTTCAGGATACCCTCACAATAAGGAAATTGGTGCTTTTTATTTCTCCATAAACATGGGAAATAGTGCAGAGATGAATGGGATGGGATAGCAGAGGATTTGAAGAGTTAGAATCCTCCCTTTCCGATAACGGGGTCCTCTGCATTCGGTCGATATCATCCTCATTAGAGCCACAATTATGTGTTTTCACTGTCTTTCCAAGAGGGGATATCACAAAGGGAAAGGGGTAATGGTCACAGCCCCACGTCTCTGCCAACCCTGGGGTCCTGCCCAACAGAAGTTTTGCTGTGTTGTACGCGGGCGGCACTGCAGACGGACGCCTTCTCGTGCGGGCAGGGAGAGGGCGAGGCGGAGAATGGCAGAGCAAGCCTGCACAGGTGGTGACCCCAAACTCGCCTGGAACGCCTGGCCGGCAGATGCCGAGCAAACCTTACGCCCCCACCTTCGAGGGAGCCCGCGGCCGCAGAGAGCGGAGCGAGGGAATGCCGTTCTCCGAGGGGCTCGGCCGCTTGGCAACGCCGTCGCTCCGGCTTGGCCCAGGCCGCTGGGTCCTGTAACAGCTTGCAAATGTTTCGCGGATCTTCCACCCTATATATCCTTGGGTTACGAAATCCTTGGATCCGGTCCCACTCGTCCCCACTTGTCACGCCACATGCAGAGGATAAATCGCACCTTCCCCAGGCATCTCGTCTGCTTTTTGCTACTTGCATCATGCTCATCTGCATCTACCTGCCTAGCTGATCCCTCCATCGAAAGCAACTTACGCTCTTTACCCGTTAATGCCGCTGAATATATTCCGGTTAAGCGTCGCACTCACAGGTACCCTGAAAAGACCCCCCCCCCCGGGGAGTCGAACCAATGCCTGGGCTGCTGGCCCTCCAGTGGTGACACCCGCCGTCACCAGGGCCAGAGCATCCCTGACCAAGGGGCATATTTGTCTGAGAATCGGGGCTTTGTTTCTGTTCGATACCTGAACCCCCACCACCTTACTGGAAGCGCGCGCACACACACACACACACACACACACACGTGGCAGCATCAGCCAAACCAGATAAACAGGCTCCTCTCTGCCTTCGTAAGACAGCAGAATGAAAAGGGGCATTCCTTGGTCTGCATTGGTGTTTTTCATGTGTAAATAACGTCAACTTCAAATGTTGCTTCCTATGTATCCCATTTTACCGCACCGACAGTCAGAAATTGATGCTGAAATAAAACATCCAATATGCTAACATAAGCTGTATTTTTCATGTGTTATATTACTGTATATTTTGCATTTAGTTCTGTATTCTACCTACAGTTAATATATTAGCACATGAAGGCTGTTGGATTATAGTGGCACACAATCTCATGTAGTGCTGGTATCTTTAGGAGTGTAAACAAGTGCAACGAAGCTCTGATTTCACACAGTTTGCATTTCAAACACACACCTCTTCTCTGCCCCCTCCCTCTTCGCCTTCCTTTTGTCTATACTGGGGTAATTCCTCCTGTTTATCATCACCGTGTCCAGCGACATGTCATGTGCTACTGTCACAAACCTGGTGTGTTGTTATGTGCTCATTAACTTTTAAACAGGTTTCTGACAGATAGCACCGATTGCATTTACATTGATATTAAGATTTAAGTAAGAGGAATAATTTGATTATTTCGTTGTTCATTGTTTTTTTTAGTTAATTTTATTGATTTATAGTTGCATTTGGCACAGTGGTATTTCTTCTATAATGGTGTTTTCCTATTCAAATATTACATCCATTCCCTCAGTCTCAATAGTCCTGATTTTTTATCTAAAGCATTATACCGCTCCAAAATGAATCTTTAATACAACCGCATTATGTGGCAATCCATTTAAAGAAATCTATTAGATAAGAAATTATTTAAAACAGCATTTTACAAGACCAATTAATATATTCAATTCAAATCATATTTTTTTATTTTCATTTTTTCAAACATTTGTTTATTTTTTTAAGTCTAAAATACAAGACTGCCAAAACTATTTTAAAAATGTGTGTGTGTGTGCGTGTGTGTGTAGGGGGGGTGGTATGTATATATTACATTATGGGAACCAAATGTCCCCACAATGTAATGAAAACCTGTTATTTTTATATTGCGGGGCCTTTTTTTTTGTTCCCAAAAAGGAAAACTCATTTAAAAAAATCTGTGACTGTGCTGAAAAAACTAAAATGTCTTGTATTTTGTTTGGTTACTTATGGTTAAGGTTAGGACTGGGAATGGGTTTAGGCTGCCATTGTTGGGATTAATGTTTTTCCCATATAAATGAATGGACGGTCCCCACAAAGATATGAGTGCAAACATGTGTGTGTGTGTGTGTGTGTGTGTGTAACTGAATTTTGTATTTTTTAAAATCAAATATTTGTATCACTGGACTTATTTCCATTGCCTAATTTCACACTTGCAATGCAACAGTGCCCTCTATTGGCTATCAGGTTGGCCTGCAAAATACAGACATCGGTTTTGGCATCTCCCCGCTGTCCCACTTTCAACAGCAGATCTCGCTTCATTTATTTAGCAATAATGTTCTGTTTTATGCGCATTGCAGACTTGACAGAAACTCAACACTGAGTACGATAGATCAGCATCATAAACAAGCCACGTGTTTATTGGCAAGCGATTTTTCTCGACACTCCGTCTTATTCTTTTCAATGCAAGACAGTAACATGAAAAAACATCACGTAATGTTAAATGTTTTTCAAAAACCATATAGTTTTGTAATGCTTTGCAGATTTCAGGAAAGGTATTTTATATACCTCATATAACTGAAAAAAAATGTAACTTAAAAGTATAAAATAGAGTAATAATAACGTAAAGACAAGTCAATTTGTAAATCATATATATATTAATATATATGATTAATTTATATATATATATATATATATATATATATATATATATATATATATATATATATATATATATATATAAACGCAAACCGCAAAGTTCTAACATTTAAGTTTACAGAGAAATATTTTGCATTCCATTCATTAGTCAGCCATTAATATATGCAAGTGCCGCATTTAAATTGCACATATTAACTGTAAAGCAATTTTACCTCTTCTGCCTTTAGGTTAACAGCTGTTTTCTAAATTTATTTTACTTTATCTAGCTTCATTAGAATTTGGGGACACATTAGAAGTCATTACATATATCCGGTCATTATGAGAATCTTTTTAAATATAATGAAGCATTTTTGAAAAATGCAAAACACAATAAAACAACTGAGCTTCAGCTCAAAGTTAATGAGTTTTGACTTGATAGCATATGTATCCAATTACACCGATACGCATGGAGAGATAACGCATAATTACCAAAAGACATATTGTAAACTGATGTTGTATCTTGTAAACCACTCTGTCACCTGCATTAGATTCTGTCACAATTAGTGATTTTTTTATTATTATTGAATGCAACCCCAACGAAGGTTAATTTATTTTATTAAGAAATAAATATGAATTAATTTTGGTGTCAGAGAGAGCGAGACCCACTTCCTTTTTCAATTAGGCTGTCCCGTCTCTGTGGGTATTAGGGCTGTTCATTCTGTTTATTCAGACTTCTACGGTATCTGCAACAAAAAAAGAAAAAAAGAAAAAGGGAAAAAATGTACGGGATGAGATACGGCAATTCACGCGCCAGGAAGGTAAATTTGAAGAACATCTGAATTTGCTGCCACGGTGATGCTAACGGTCGATAATAAAGTGTTACGAATCTAATCACGGAAAGTAAACGGGGACTTTGGGAATCGCGGAGACGGAGATTTAAGCTTCACCCGCATGCGATTTTTTTCCAAAAGCTGCTAGGATGCTTTGTCATTTTTTAATTTTCTTTAAATATGATTTTTTTTTTATGCAATTTTTCTCTTTTCGAGAAAATATTTTGTGCTTGTTTATTGCACATATCGTGGGCAGTGAAAAGAATAATTGTTGTGGTGCTGGTTTAAATTACTGGTATTTACAGTAGGGGGTTTATACTACAGAACCCGAAAATCACTCCGAGGAGCTCATTTGGTAACCTGGAGGAATGTCTTAAACTGGCATAGTTATGTCAGCTTTCTGGATATTAATGATTTAAGGAGCAAAGCTTGACTCTACTTACGAAGGCGGAGTTTTGTAATGATTAGATACTGACTGACTGTATTTGCGCTAAATTAAAGTAATACAGCGGAGGAGCAGCCGACAGGTTGAAAATGAGTAATCTTAGATACTAAACCCTCAGAACAGTAGGGTATATAGAAATACTCCCGATGTACATCATTAAAATTAATAATACTGAAAAAAATCAACATTTGTCTTTGCTGAAAATTTTGAGAAACGCGATAGAGATATAAATGAGCCATTATCTCAAAATATCTGTCCCCCCTCCCACCTAATCCCACCCCGCCAGTACCCCAGTGGGGGACAGGCACTTGTCCAACCCCCCTTGCTCCTGCAGATAGGGGCCCTGCTCCAAATGCGGCACCCCACCTCCCCAAACCGCTACTTCCACACCTGCTCCCCTCGCACCTCAGCACCAGCTCCGCAAACTGATTCCTACCGGGGGAGGGGGGCACTTCACACTGCAATTAATAACATCACAGGTAACCCATTGATATAAAAGGGTTTGATTCAACGAATACGAAATCGTGATCAAATATTAATTGCCTGATAAATAATAGACAAACAGCATCTGTGTAAATTTCAGAGGCCTCACTCATATAAGAGTATGTGCCTCTTTAATCAAATATTTATGAGAAGTCATTATTGGTTTAAACACTCGTATATACACATTAAAAACAAATACATGAACTGATTCTAGGTGTTTAGAGTTACAGTGAAAAAGATTCCTCATGGTACGTATGCACGGTTAATGATGGTGACATTTCCCAATTCCTCTGGTAAGACTGCCACCTAGTGGCAAAATAATGATACTTCTCATCACAGCTTTGCTGCGTTGAGGATCACTGGGAGAATATCAGAGTATAAGAGGTACGGGCGTAAATTATGGGATGATGAAGGGGTTGTAACCTCCCCTATAATCAAAACCAGCCAATACAACCCCCTGAACCTCCATAAATGGGTGGAGATCTCACCTCCCCCCAGTGCTCAACCCAAAGTTATGCCCTTGGTAAGAGGGCAGATGGCACTTATGATAAAGGCATAGATCTGGCAGGGAGAATTCACAGTCTCTTTTCATACAGTGGCACTTTAACACCCCATGGTGCAAAGAGCAAGGATAGCTCAGGAAAAAACTGAGCATCTGCGAGTCTCTGTCTCTCTCTAAGCGGATCACTGTTTCCTTATTCTCACTCTAAGGATGAAGTTATATGTCAGGTACATGCTCAGGTAAAAAAACCACACACTCTCAAGGAAAGTTCGAAGAACATTCTGGAACTCTTACATACGGTGCAAAGACATTGGACGTCACACGTATTGCCTGTTCTAAAATGCCACACTGCAATTCCCCCAATAAACCAATTTGTTTTTATTTCTCCTACTGTCTAAAAACTTCCTGGACTCTGCATATAGTCCACATATAGTCATGAGAGGCAAAACATGTACATTTCTCCAAAAAAGGAATAGGTCACGTCCACAATGTAAAGAATAAGTAAATAAAATTAGATTTAAAAAATTAAACAAAAATAATAAAATGTTTAAAAGTGTTGAAGTGTCTTTAGTCCAGCCTTCATCCCACATCAAACACAATGAAGTCGTTCTGGGGGCTCTGGACCATAAATAAGAGATGGAATCTGAGTTCTAAGAGCATTAGAAGTTTGATTTCTTCAGGCGAGGCCAAGGGGACAGTCAGTGAGGAATTATTCATATTGATGAAATGTCATATTAGTTTGTCCCATTTCCAAATGTATGGTCGCTTTATTCAGTTATAAACCTCATTCTGTGCTGGGATGCTGCACCTTCACATTTTTGCTTAGCATGTACTATTCTAGCAGTTATTTCAGTGATTAAACCACTGGCTACTGCTATTTGTTAATCTTTGTTGTCTGATTGTCTTAGCAGCATTGTTACCCAGGACAGGACAAACTGCTTCTCTGTGGACATACTTTCAGTTTCCATGCCATGAGTGTTGTGCCGTAGAGTAGAGTAACGTTTATGTACAAATATTCACTCATTTATGTGATCTTCCACAGTGGCATAATTCACCTAAATTACAATTCCAAAACGCATCATCCCGGTAGCGGGAGTACAACATGTTATATTGGTAATCAGAAAAAAAGGCAGAATTA